TTCCAAAATTATTATTATTATTTTTTTTTTTAGATTGATTTTTAAATAGTTTTTTATTGATTTTATTTAGTCACTGAATTAAGGTAAAAAATATTATTATTAAAGTCCCCCAGTGGTGAAAATTAAGCTTTTAATGTGTGTTTTATGTGGTGTTTTTAATATGCTTTAAGACAAACCATGTGCAAATTCATAAGTCAACACCATTGCTGAGTATTGTCTCCATATAACTGCAGTGGACCAAAGACAGTCTCAAAAACGCGGTTTGAAATCGCTGGTGTTTCTGACGTTAAAAACTACCTTGTAACCAATCAGGTCAACGATTGATCGTCAATGAGTGGATCTCTGAGCTGGTGTGAGTGAGTGGAGGCGGGGCTAATTTGCATATTCATGGGACCGCGTATACTAAATGAGGCAAGGGTGTAGAGTTACATTCAAACTATTTTAAGGCATGAAGAAAAAAAATTCTAGGAATTTTTTTTTTTATATATATATGTTATTTTGGAGGGATTGACTACAGGGGGACTATATTGTTGGCAGTGTGTGTTTTTCTCCATCTACTATTAGCGTAATGTTAGCTATATATGAACTCTTTGACAACTAGGACAGTCAACAAATAACTCTGTAAGTCGTATAAATTCTGACCCATATAAATGAAAAATGAAAAAAGTTATAATATCAAATTTGATAAATGTGTTAAAAAATATAGTTAAATTGATTTAACTTAAATTAAATTAAAATATTAACTTTCTGAAAGCACATTAAGCTGTGTTTCTAGAAAATTAGAAAGCATTACAATTAATGATATTAGGTGCGTCCATATTCGCGTACTTGTGCACTATTCTATGCTATTTTGTTGTATAGTGCAAATAGTGTGTTCATCCTGAAAATTCCAACATAAAAAAAGTTTAAATTTAACTTTGGTTATGCAGCAGAGGTGAAGGACTATCAGACGACAACAACAGGGAAAAAATGGTTCTGGAAGTATAACAACACAACAACGGTAATGCCGACACTGCAGAACCGGTGTAAGAGACAGGGTTACGGAAAATCAAACTGCAATTTCAAATAGTGCTCTGACTTCCATACATTATCTCACACTCTATAAAACTGCATTTCTCCTTCCATTCCTCTTGGTCTCCTTATCTGCATCCATCTATTCCCCGTTTCCCTCTCTCCCTGTTGTGTCTCTTTGATGCTGTGTCAGTAGAGGAGAGTGAGAGAGCGAGTTACCGTGGATAATGAGCTTTAATCAGACCCAGAGCTCACAGGAAGCACAATCATCAGACCAGCGCGCGCTGCGCGCCCGCTTTAACACACACACGCACGTTCAGAACGCCATATCACCTGCTTTTCTGAAAGAGATGCTATATTTAGTATAGTATATTTAAATGTTGAAAATACTGCAGTGCAGAAGTGTGTAGTATGCAGTGTGTACTGCGCAAAATGTAGTACGCTAGTGTTCCATTTTGAACATGGCCAAAAAAAGAGAAAAACTCCCAGACACAATACACGTCAATGTGTGTGTTTATATTTGTGTGTTTGTGTTTCTTACCCCTCTGAACTCAGATATGCTAATGCTAATCTATTTACTTGGCCGACTTTGAAACTTGCTTGAAATGTAGATTAAACCTCTAGTTTTTAAGGGTGCTCACATGAAGAAAAGCGTATGAAAATGTATGTACACTCACACACAGAGACGGGGACTTATCTGCTTTTTGCAGACTATGGTGTGTGTGTGTGTGTGTGTGTAGCTATGAGTCAGTATAAACTCTATAATCTCGGGAGTTTTACAAATGTTAAATATTCCCTTAGGCCTCGACAATGCGCCACATCCCACTCGCGTTCTCACACGTACACAATACACTCATGTTCAATCACAGAGACCATCAGTTACACACTCCCTATCAAACACACACTCTTTTCCAAAGCCTCGTGAGCTGCACTGCTATATACTGTTTACATAGTCAGCTAACTTCCAAGGTAAGCTATATAAAAAAAAATAGAAGCGAGTGATTTGAAACGCTCTACTGTACATTGATGGCAACTCTGCACTAAACTGAACTCCTCGTACTAAATATAAACGCAAGTAGTCTATATTACATATTTCAAGTCTTCTTAAGTTATATAACAGTTTTGTGTGATAAACAAGCCAAAATTACATTTGTTATTCACTGAAAATTACAGACATGGTCACTATTGACACTCACTATACGGAAAAGTGCAGCATGGACATTCTGCAAAACATCTTCTTTTGTGTTCCACAGAAGAAAACGAATCCAAATGGTTTAAAAAAGACATGCGAGTGAGTGAACGAATACAGAATTTCATATCTGGGTGAACTATTTATTTAAGCCCAAACTGAAGTCCTTATCTAACTCTCATAGCTTCCATAACATCCTCTTTTTCAATCTAAATCCTCTTTCTTATAATCCTTCAACACGGCTGCTGTGAATCTGGCCCATGTGTGCTTGTGTGGACTTCATATGGTTATGTCCTCTACATCTACAAATAAAATCAGTGATGTGGACACTGGAAAGAATGACTGTGAGAGTCTCATTCCCAGCGGGACACGGCGTCGGGGTGTAGGTGCCAGGACGGAAACAGCGAACGCAACATTTGCATTTAAAAAGGTGACATTTGCCATGTTGGTCTGGAGCCGCAGGAATGAGAGGAGAGGCAGGTGCTGGGATAGCCCATATTCATCTCGGTGACAGGACGACAACAATGAGAATGTCAAAGCCAAGAGTAAGACAGCACACCAAATCACACACACACACACACACACACATATGCTCCGAACAGAGACCGCTGTCCAAAATAAACCTGACAATCCGCCCCCTCATCTCTCAAACCCATGTGGAGATAAATTGGTGGCTGTTCAAATCGACTTTTACCTCATACCGAAGTAATTACATGAAAACAACGTCTGCAAATTGTAATATCTGTTGTAGTCACATTAAACTTCAAGTTCAGGCAGGGTGGAACATGCATTATTTATGTGATATGTGGAATAAATTACATTGTAAACACAGACTGTTTAGACCTGAGGAGCATATGATTAGTGTGAGTTTAATCGTCTTCATTGTTTCTGAAGAGCAGTCGGGTCGTTTGGAGTTCATGTGGAAGTGTTGGTGCTGATGAGACTCGTGTTCGCTCGGTGAGGGCTTCTGATTGGCAGCCCGCTCGGTGAGGGCTTCTGATTGGCTTTTGAATTTTTACATTTGTTTTTTTGGCGGGTAGATTTTTCTTAATCGGAATGGTACGAAACTTGGTAAAGGTTTTGGCACTTGCTATGTGAATACATGTAATACATTTTTTTGAAAATATATATGTTTCATATAAAAATTTAAAATAGTATTTTTGCACATTTTTCATGACAATAAACGTAAAATTCTGTAACTTTTTTAAATTCACCTTTTACAACTTATTTTCACTTCAGCAATAACCTGCCAAGTGTCGTCTTTGAAAAGAGATCAAACTTAAGTCTGTGTTAAAGATTTATGACAGTTTCAGTTGGAAATGAAATTTTCAGGTCTATGCTCAAAAAGTGAATAATGTAATTTAGCGTTAATATAATTTAGCACCATAAAATCCCCTAAAAATACAAAATATTAAATAAAAAACATTATCGAACTAAAATACAGTACATTAATTTCTTTGAAATAAACCGAAACCATTTTTGACCGACACGCGAAGAGCACCAGAGGGTTAAAAACATAACTGGTGTGTATTTTAGTTGCCAGTCCTACAAAAACCTTCGGTCTCTAAGCCTCGGGTGTTGCTTATTTCCAAAAAGATCTTAATTTGGGCCTCGGCCTCCTGGAAAAACCTCAAATGTGCAAATATCTGAAAGAATTGTAGTGTTTACGGTCTCTAATCTTGCTGAATTTATTTATTGCTGCTTGTCCTGGCCAAATCCCTTCCTCGTTAATATCCGTTAGAGCAAAAGGAAAACAGTTACTATATACGTTTGCATCTAAAATGATATATTTTGAAGTATGTGTGGAAGATGATATTCTAAAGTAAGGCATTCTACAAGTTTGCCCCCATTTCCAAATAATAACAAGCATCTCATAATTTAATACGCCTCCCTTGAAAGACAATTATCCTTAATCAGGTTCTTTGGTCTTGGGTTTTAGTCTCGGTGTTCCCACGACTGCTTTTATCAGAGGAGATAATTATGGGCCAACTACTACCCAGAGTATAGTTTTACAGGATATAAATATCATTATGAGGCTGTAGTCTCGGTTTCATTCATCAATTCATTTGTTTAATCTTTATTTTTAAACAACTTTAGGAAAAACTAGAGGGAGAAATGAACTCATTAAACACCCAACACGTTGTTCCAAACCTGTATGACTTTTTGTTTTCTTGAAAAACAAATAGAGATGTTAGGCAGGATATTCATGCTGTTTTTTAGATACAATAATAGTAAACATTGACCGGCTCCAAAACTATCACAAAAAAGCATCATAACAGTATCAAAGTAGTCAATATGACTTACAAATGCATTATGTTTTATATGAGCAAAAATTTGTTATTCAGCCAGATTGAATTATGTGCATATGCAAATATGGCACCTCTAGATTTACAAGACACAAGAACAAAAACAATTGGCATCATCAACTTTTTTTTTTACATTTGAGAGCTGCAACAAAGGGAAAGATTTTCAGTGAATAATGACTTTAAATAAATAAAAAACACACAAAGCTATCATACAGTATAACTTCAGAAGACTTATGAAAAATATAGTGCATGAGTTAAACTGACTATACTTTTATAGTGGTTTTTGTCATTTTTTGGAGCTTTAGAGGCTTTGGTCACCATTCAGTTTCATTATATGAGCAGCGTTGACATTCTGCTAAATTTCTCCTTTTGTGTTTCATAGAAGAAAGTAAGTCAAATCAAGGTTTGGGTGAGGAAATGATGACAAATTACATTTATGAGTGAATTATTTCTGTTTTTGTGTGTAAATCTGATAAGAAAGAATGAAATCTTACCTTCATTAACACGGATTCGCTGAGCTTTTCTCGGTTTACAATCTTTATGGCGACCTTCTGACATGTGACACAGTGGATCCCGAGCTTTACAAGGCCTAGAGGGGGGGAAAAAAGAAAGAAAAGGTTGAAAGAAAACCATTGGTCTAATCATTGGTCTGCATCCACAACATTGGTCTGCAACATGGCTGAGCAATTTAATCACAACTGCACAAAAAACCCTTTCACAGGCCATTTCCTTTCACACACCGAAACACGAGCGTCTTTCCCTCGGCATCTGTGAGACGCTCCATTCATATCTCAAGACCGACGGCCAGGTATAGTAGATAAGCAAAACTGTGAGCCAAATTGATGGTGTACAGCAGCAACCTAAAGGCCTTTCTGCTTTATCACTCGTGACGTGGAGTTTCATGGTGCGCGAGCAGCTCAAGGAAATCGTTTCTACGAATCATCCGCCACACGGTTAACACTTTTATTAGTCAAAGTGTTGAATGTTTACAGGCTTACAGAGCAATGCGTCACGGTTCCCCTCTCTTCTCCATACTTTCAAGGACTTTCTAAAGAAAAATCTCTAGCGTAAATACCTCAGGCCCTTCCACGATTGTTGAGCAAGCATTTTCAAACGAAACAAAAACCACTAAAGACGATTCAGCAAAGTTGTTTTGCACCACGAACTGTTGGGTAGATAGGGAGGGTTTGACGCCTGTGCGAGACAAGATAATGAATGTTTCACATCCTAAGGTGCACGCGTATCGGAAAACTGACAAGCGCATAAACGAAAAATGCTGTGATTTGCAAAGAGGATGAGGTGAATGTTTTTAGTTTGTAATAAAGTGTAAGAAAACCCCCCACCTCATCCCAACCAAATCCTCATCCCCGATGACACTCAACAGACACTCGTGAACAACCACTGCTCTCATGTGACTCAATGGCTCTTCACAAGCTAAAGGAAAATGGCTGCTTTTGAAGGGTTTTAAGATGAATAGCAAAACTATCCACTGTTGAAGAGGAGATGAAATGGCTAATTCTATGTCTGTAATGAAACTGTTCATAATATAATATAATATAATATAATATAATTAGTGCTATAAAGATGTATGTGTATAGCGCTTTTCAAATCACCATTCAGCCCATGTCTGCTGTGCGATTCAACAAGTGGCACTGAACTGAAGTAGCTTGTCATTATCTTTTATATTTTTTTTAGAAAAACATTTTGAGCAGAACAGTATTTTAATACATTTTTATCCAATAATCCTTAAAAAATCCAACTGTCATGATTCCCCAGTACTTTATGTTCCAGGACTCTTATTTTGATATTCTTTTGTCTTGTTGTGTCTGGTTTGTTTCCTTTGTTAGTTTCCATGACAACTAATCACCTTCACCTGTTCCTGGTTATCCCTCTTGTTACCCATGGTGCGTCCCAATTCGCATACTGTCTGTCCAAAATAGTATTCGAAAATATAATTAGTGTGTCCCAAATCGTAGTATGTTGAAATGAGTGTTCCAAAGATACCCGAATGGTCTACTTTTCCGGTTAGAATCCGAAGTGCAGATCGATGCAAACGCTAACGGCTAATATTGCCGTTAGTTTTTTTTTTTTTTTTTTTTTTTATCAAATAAATGTAGCCTTGGTGAGCAGAAGAGACTTCTTTTAAAAACATTAAAAATCTTACCGATCCAAAACTTTGGACCGGTAGTGTATAGGGGGAAAAATAATATATACACTCACCGGCCACTTTATTAGGTACCCCATGCTAGTAACGGGTTGGACCCCCTTTTGCCTTCAGAACTGCCTCAATTCTTCGTGGCATAGATTCAACAAGGTGCTGGAAGCATTCCTCAGGGAGTTTGGTCCATATTGACATGATGGCATCACACAGTTGCCGCAGATTTGTCGGCTGCACATCCATGATGCGAATCTCCCGTTCCACCACATCCCAAAGATGCTCTATTGGGTTGAGATCTGGTGACTGTGGAGGCCATTTTAGTACAGTGAACTCATTGTCATGTTCAAGAAACCAATTTGAAATGATTAGAGCTTTGTGACATGGTGGAAGTAGCCATCAGAGGATGGGTACATGGTGGCCATAAAGGGATGGACATGGTCAGAAACAATGCTCAGGTAGGCCGTGGCATTTAAACGATGCCCAATTGGCACTAAGGGGCCTAAAGTGTGCCAGGAAAACATCCCCCACACCATTACACCACCACCACCAGCCTGCACAGTGGTAACAAGGCATGATGGTTCCATGTTCTCATTCTGTTTACGCCAAATTCTGACTCTAACATCTGAATGTCTCAACAGAAATCGAGACTCATCAGACCAGGCAACATTTTTCCAGTCTTCAACTGTTCAATTTTGGTGAGCTCTTGCAAATTGTAGCCTCTTTTTCCTATTTGTAGTGGAGATGAGTGGTACCCGGTGGAGTCTTCTGCTGTTGTAGCCCATCCGCCTCAAGGTTGTGCGTGTTGTGGCTTCACAAATGCTTTGCTGCATACCTCGGTTGTAACGAGTGGTTATTTCAGTCACTGTTGCCCTTCTATCAGCTCGAACCAGTCTGGCCATTCTCCTCTGACCTCTGGCATCAACAAGGCATTTCCGCCCACAGAACTGCCGCTCACTGGATGTTTTTTCTTTTTCGGACCATTCTCTGTAAACCCTAGAGATGGTTGTGCGTGAAAATCCCAGTAGATTAGCAGTTTCTGAAATACTCAGACCAGCCCTTCTGGCACCAACAATCATGCCACGTTCAAAGTCACTCAAATCAACTTTCTTCCCCATACTGATGCTCGGTTTGAACTGCAGGAGATTGTCTTGACCATGTCTACATGCCTAAATGCACTGAGTTGCCGCCATGTGATTGGCTGCTTAGAAATTAAGTGTTAACGAGCAGTTGGACAGGTGTACCTAATAAAGTGGCCGGTGAGTGTATATATATATATATATATATATATATATAAGGAAAAAATAGAAAAAAAGATAAATAAACCGGATTAACGGTCACAGCATGGCCTATAAACTGTGACATAGTGGTTTATTTAGTATAAGTAGGCGAATGGGGACGCAGCACCAGTGTCTTTACCCCTGCGTTTCCTTGTTTCTTCTGTTGGACTATTATCATCATCCTCATGTTTGGATTATTGCTATTGAACTACTTTTTGGATTATCTATGTGTTTGTGTGTTCATGGAATAAATACTGCTATAAGATCCTCGCCTCTCCTCATCCTTTCTACACCCGTGACTCATATACATATAATGACTTCAATGACTTTCTACACAGCAACTCATACATATAATGACTTCAATATACTTTTTCTGTGAGGAACGCGTTTTTAATTTCCTGAAACTGTCAAGGTGATACAACTGTCCTGGGTCACAATTTAGGTGTGTTATGTGTCTTCATGTCTACTGTGTACTTGTTCATTAACTGTGTACTTGTTACTTCTGTAAAATGTTAGGCAAATTGTACCTATTGTGTTTATGTTGTATTGAAGAAAAGAAAAAAGAAACTTGGGATACAAGTAGGTGGGATACAAGTAAGGTTAGGGGACAGGTTTGGTGTTATGGGTAGATTTAAGGGTCAACCGTGTAATTATAGATGTAATTACAGAAATGATTACAGCTGTAATGACATGCAGGTATTTTTGTTAAATATAACAATGTAAAACATGTATGTACAGAATAAGTGCATTGTATCAAATGACTAATTTAAATGTAACTACATAGTAGTTAATAAGTAGTTTCCTTTTTTTATTTCTTTCACTTGGAAGTTATGACGGATAAGTAAGGATATTAATTATATTGGATAGGTGAGCTGAAAATTTTTGTGAGTAAATGTAAATGTGGAGGATGTATTGATCGCGGCTGGGGAGCAGATCGGTTACGACAATATTTGCTCGGCTTTTCGAATGAATAAGGCGGAGGTGATTTTCGTGAAAGAAGAAAATTTGGTTAATCGTCTGATAAGCAACGGCGTTGTGGTAAGTGGTGCTTATATTACTGTTTCACCGCTGGTTACACCCACTACTAGAGTGACGAAATCAAATGTGCCGCCATTCATTAAGAATAGTGAAATTGAACGAGCTCTTGGGAGTTACGGAAAGTTTGCTAGTCCAGTTAAAATGATTGCTCTTGGATGCAAAAAAATGAGGCTTTGAACCACGTGTGATCATTCAGCAGACAAGTTTTTATGTTTTTGAATGAACAAGATTTGGATGTTTCAAATGAAGGCATGAAGGAGAATCATATTTGGTGTATGCGAGTACCGGGAATAATAAATGCGTTGAATGTGGAGACATTGGGCATAAGAGGGTTGCATGTCCACATAAGGCTCAGAATGTTGAGAATATGCAGCAGAATGTTGATGATGGAGATCGTGAAATAGATGGAGGAGTACAACCTCAGGCTGTAAGTGAAGTACATGATAGTGGCGTTGCTGTGGGTGATAATTTGAGGCCTAGTGAGGAGCCTACTGTTAATGTGAACCAAAGCAGGGACACTGAGGGAATGATGAGGGCTGGTGAAGTTACAGTGACAGCAGAAGTAAGTGGAGTGTAGAAACGGTGATTAGAGAAGTTGGTGGAAGTGAAATCGAGCCACAATCTGAAACATCACAGGGCTTTGAAAAGAGTAACGATGACAGTGAGATGGTGGATGACGATGCTTGTTCGGAAATTTCAGAATTTGGTTCCCAAGTTATGGGAGAATTGTATACATTGCAGGAAATAAATGATTTCTTGGATGCAACTTTTGGTAAAATAGTTGAAGTTAATAATTTCTTCCCAAATGTGGATAAGTTTATTGCTTCGGTTATTACAGAGAACGATAAGCCATGATGAACTAAGTAAGAAGAAGAGATTTCGTTTGAAGGAACTCTTAACGAAATTACGTCAGGGTAAATCAAATTATTAAAGCAATGATTAAGTTGCACAGGGTGTCTCTCTTACTATGGTTTCTTTTATCCTTTCATTTTTCAATGGAGTTTCTTAGGGTTGGCTCCTCAAACATAAATGGGGGTAGAGACAGGAAGAAATTGGCAATGGTTTCAGAATTTTTGCAAATAAAACAGAATAATGTTGCCTTTTTACAGGAAACGC